GCTGGGACTGGGACAGGGGTTGCGGTGCAGGAGGAGGTTCAGAGGGCAGGCGCCAGGAAGGAGTTTGGATGCAGAAGAGAGCTCATGGCTGGGGTGCAGGAGGTATGAAGGCTCTGGAGTGGGGCATGCAGTACAGGCAGGGCTCAAGGCTGGGGCAGGGTGTGGGCTCTGGCCGGAGCTAGAAATAGGACAGGAGGTTGGGGTGCAGGGCTCCAGGAGGAAGTTTGGGTGAGGGAAGGAAGCTCAGAGTTGCGATAGAGGCGGAGATGCAGGCTCTGGAAGGAAGAAGGGTGCAGAAGAGAGTTCCAACCTGAGACAGAAGTACAGAAGGGAGTTCTGGGTGTGGGCTCCAGCCAGGCGGCACTTACTTCAGGTGGCTCCTGGTCAGTGGCACAGCAGGGCTAAGGCAAGCCCCCTGCCCACCATGGCACTGTACTGCTCCAGAAAGCAGCCACCATGTCCAGCCCCTAAGCATAGGAGGCAGGCAGCTTGAGCAGTGTGTGCTGCCCACATCCCCAGGTGCTGACCCACAGCTCCCATTGGCCTTGGTTCCCTGCCAATGGGAGCTGTGCTGGGGTCAGGGACAGCACACAGAGACCCCCTGATCATCCTTACTCCTAGGGGCTGCAGGGAGATGCTGGAGAGCCAGCACGCACAGTTCCAGGTCCGTATGGGGTCACTAAGACTTTGGGCTCATGGCATAAAGCCTTGCCGCATGCTGGATGACATGAAGCAGTGACCAACAGGTTCCCCACACTTCCCCTAAGGCTTTTAAACTCACTTCCTAAGGGGGATTCATTTCAGCCCTTTCCAGCCCCTTTTAAAAGGAAATGCAGCAATACTGTATATTCCACACACGTATTCTGGTTTAAATGCTGTCAGGAATCTCATATCCTTTATTTTTATTAAATAATGCTCATTTATTTGAATTTTGGCTCTTTACTTTGTTTTACGGTGACCTGTTCTGTGACTTTTTTAAATGTATTATGTTTTTAACTGTTTGTACAAAGTTCCAAACACTTGAGCAGGTCAGGGGCTTTATAACTGAAAGCACTATCCGATATAGCATTGCCTCAACTACACTATAGTGTCTGCCTTGAATGAGATTTCATTTTGGACCAACAACCAGCACATGCCAATCATTTAATATTTCACAGTGTATATATCTAATTTAACATGATGACACTAAAACTGCCCATCTGTAGAAAAACCACATTCACCAATAACAACTAATGAAATTGATCAAATGTTAAAAGCAAGCTGCAATACACAGCATTATACAAGATGTAATTACAGTACATGTATTTTCAAAAGAATAAGTCACTGAAAGAATGTGGGTCACACAAAGAAAAGTAAAGACAGCAATGACTTTATAGACTAAAAGAATTAAATTAAAAATAGTGTTATAAACTCTTATTAACAAAAAATTGATATGTAACTTCTTACAAGAACTTTGAACAAATCAGGCTTTTAATTAGCATCCTGGTTTATATCAGAGAAATTCCTGCGAGGAAGCAAGAGTAAAAATATAATTTATTTAGGCACACCATCCACCATCATGAGATAGTGAAACATGAAAAGGGATTTCTAGAAACTATTTTAAAAACACAATCCAACATATAATTTGTAAACGTTTAACTGTCTAAGGTAAAAATTAATCCCTGCAATTTTCCTTTGAAGAACAGGCTTAACAAAGCTGGCCTCTACCATTTAATAAAGTGGAAAGGCTTACAGATCATTTATTTTTGCAGAGAAAAGAAAGATCTATACTGAACAAGGCAGTTCTGTATTCTTCAACTGTCTCTCACAATTGCTACCCTTCTCCAGTAAAACAATACCTTTCATTTATAAAGCTGCTATTAGCTATAACTGAGTGATTATCATGTGAGACATGGAATAAACACAGTTATGTAAAGCAACAATACAGTTCATGATATGCTAACTACTACAACTAAAAACTATCTACCTGAGCATAGGGCTAATAAAGGCTAAAATATTTAGATGTGGTTTTATCAAAGTACATAAAACTGATCTTCATGTCCGTCAGGTCATATTCACAACAAGAGCAAATCATCAATGTTGGTGAAATTCTCTGACAGGTGTACTTTCTTTAAAGGCAAGTTCACTACCAAATTAGTGTTCCTACAGGAAGGAGCTCTAGACATAGAATAACAGAACACTAGAACTGGAAGGGATTTCAAGAGGCCATCAAGTTCAGTCCCGGGCCCTCATGGCAGGACCTAGTACCATCTAGACCATCCCTGGTAGATGTCTATCTTACCCACTCTTAAATATCTCCAGAGATGGAGATTCCACAACCTCCCTAGGCAATTTATTCCAGTGTTTAAACACCCCGACAGTTAGGAAGTTTCCTAATGTCCAACCTAAACCTCCCTTGCTGCACTATAAGCCCATTGCTTGTGGTCCTATCCTCAGAGGCCAAGGAGAACAATTTTCTCCCTCCTCCTTGTGACACCCTTTTAGATATTTGAAAACCGCTATCATGTCCCCTCTGTCTTCTCCTTTCCAAACTAAACAAGCCCAATTCTTTCATGTAACAAAATAACCTCACATTAAGAAAATCCTTCAAGAAGTGAAAGAGCTGTACTATTATACACACTCAGGATATAAAAGGAAAAATCAAGATCTGTTTAGATGCCAAATGCAACGTTTGGGTACCTACTTACAATTCCATTATGCCTGACATGTTTTTAGTGCAGCGATACTCAGACCTGCAGTTCAGGAGCCAAATTAACAATCAACATTACCTGAAAAAGCCACACAAGTGTGAAACCAGTGTTTCATTTCCCATACCACTATATTTAGCTTCCATATAACTCTCTCAGCAAATAAGTTAAGGTGAAAGTTGACAACATAATTGGTTAATAACATACAAGCATCCTGATTGGTTAATTAAATCACAGTGCTTTAATATCAGAGGGGTAGCTGTGTTAGTCTGCATATGCAAAAGTGACAAGGAGTCCTATAGCACCTTATAGACTAACAGATATATTGGAGCATAAGCTTTTGTGGGCAAAGATGTGTTGCATCTGACAAAGTGGGTCTTTGATCACGAAAGCTTATGCTCCAATACATCTGTTAGTCTATAAGGTGCTACAGGACTCCTTGTTGCTAGTGCTTTAATATGTGCTGCAAAAAGCATCCACGAGCCACATGCAGCTCACAACCCTCAGTCTGAGTATCGCTATTCTAGAGTATAGCCTTCAGTAGACCTTACCCATGTTTCAGAAAGAGATTAAAGCCTTGGCAATTTCCAAGTGCATTTGAGGGGGAGACAGGGGAGTGGACTAGGTACGCCACTGATTTGATCCAGGATGGCAATTCCTATAACTAAGGATACTGCTGTGTCTCACCGGAAAGGAACTCCCCACCCGGTGAGTTGCTAGCACAGCCTGGGAGAGGAAATAAGGATTGTGGTTCTCTGTGGAAAAACATGCAAAGGAGAGCTTCTGCTTCGCCAGAGACCACTGGTTTTGTAGCAAGCATCGGAAACATTTCCTCTACACAGATTTGTAAGACACTTTCCCTTTGGTTTTGTTATGGGCCTACCCATTAGCATTGCCCTAACTGTAAAAGTTGTCTTGGTATTTTTATTAGAAATCCTGGATGAGATGTTTTGAAAGCCAATAAGGGGCTGTAGCCACAGAACTCTCAGGGTAAGCCTACACTAGAAGCACGACATCAGCACAGCTTCACCGATGCAGCTGGACTTTGGCAACATGTCTGATAAAGACGCTGAATGCTGACAGGAGGGTGCTCCGCCTGCACAAGAGGCAGACGCTGCATTGGCAGAACATTTCCTGCCTACATAGCACCGGTGCGGACAGCATGTAGATTGCTGAACCTTGTGCAGCTCAAAGAGGTTCTTTTTCACATCCCTAAGCAAGGTATGTTAGATTGATTTAAGTGGTACTGCAGACCTGTGCTCATTGTGGTTAAGTACTCTAGGTAAATCTGAAAGTCTGAGCCCCTCCTTTTAAGAACATTAAAACACCTGAACATTCAAGTTTTGGTTGGAGGTGAAACTTCATCATCCCCACATGCCCCAGCAGCCCCCCAACCTCATCCACTACAGCAGCTAGGCGTGAAGCTATAATATTGATTGGGGGGGGGGGGGGGGGGGGGGACAA